CTGAATTTCTGGAATCTCAATTATTATATATCTGAGAGTAGATTTATTTTGGTTATGGCTAATTGGAGTTCTATATACTTCACTTACTGTATGTCCAATTTTTCCATTCTTGGGAAATTTTCTACTCTTATTTCTGCAAATAGTCTTTTTATGTCATTTGTGTTGACTTGTGTTGTTTTGTTGAAACCTGTTGGTCTTACATTGTTTTCCTTTGCATTATCTTGCAACTGTTGAATTGTTATTTCCTGGTTCCTTGTTATTTTTAAGAGATCTTTCCTTTTGCAATTGTTAGCTACAATGTTGTCTTCAAAATCTGAAAATCTATCTTCAGCTTCGTTGAAGTGGTTTCGCCAGCTTTTGATGGAATTTTAAATTTCCTGGATAGCTGCTTAAATCTGTTTCATACTTTCTAATTCTTTTCTATATTGTTCACTCAAGGTTTCCATGAGTTTTCTATGCTCCTTTATTGTCTTATCAGTGTCTTCTTTGGGTATGCTGAACAATTTTTTAATTATTGCTGTCAATTTTTTTTACCTGAGAGATTATTGAACCTTAAATATGTAATGCATTAATTACATTAGATACGTAATGTCCCTTTCTCTGTCCATTTTGTTATCTGTGTCATTCATTTATTCATTCATTTGGTATTGGAGATTGAATCCAGTGCCTTTGGTCAGCAGTCTAATTTTAATCTGACATTACCATAGACTTTCTTTTTCTTTTTTGAGTAACAGTGACATAATGTATCTTTTTCATCCTTTTATCTTCAGCTTGCCTGTAGCATCACATTTGAATTTGGTTTGTTATAGATAGCATAGGTTGTACCATGTTTTAAAATCCATTTTGTCAATCTGTGTCATTTATTTATTTGTTACTGGAATTGAACCCAGGGCACCAGCCTACTTTTCACTTTTTATTTTAAAACAAGGTCTTGCTAAAATTTTCAGGCCAGGCTCAATTTTGTGATCCTGGCTCAGCTTCACAGAGTGCAGGAATTACAGGTGCACATACCAGGTGCCACTAATCTGTGTCTTTTAATGGTTGTATTTAGAGCATTAGAGTTGAGGATTATTGATATGCCAAAGCTTCATGTGCCAATTTCTGTTCTGTTTTTGTTTGTTCTCTTTGATTTTTTTTTTTTACTTCTGCCCCCTGTGGGTTACTTGAATGTTTTTTAGAATTCCATTTTTATTACATAGTATTTTTGAGTGTATCTCTTTGTGTTACTCTAGGTATTACATTATACACACATAACTTATCAGTCTTCTGGTATTGTCATTTTACAAGTTTGAGGGAAGTTTAGAAGTATTATCTCCTTTTATTCCTTTATTCTCTCTTTAGTTATAATTGTCTTAAATAGTTTTTTCTACTTACACTTAGAATCAGATCAGGAAGTTTATAATTTTTGTTTGAGGAAGTTTTGTTCTTGGTGTAGTGAAGGACTTTTCATCTAAAACCTAGGTGTCTTTGCATTATATTACAAGACTCTGGGTCTTATCTAACCTCTCCTTTAGCCAGCTTTTCTTTCACTGCTCAGGCAGAGGACAGAGGTTAGGCTGAGGTAGAATCCTAGGTTCCCCACTCAGCCTCCATTGACTCAAACTGGGGCTTGGGGCGAGAGTGGAACTTGTATCTCTGCAGGGTCCCCACTGACACTATGGTGGGAGAAGCTTTGTTACCATTCTGACCCTGAGGGGTGGGGTTAGAGGGGATACCTCTTTATTATTGGGTGAGGGTGGACATGCAGGCTCCACATGGCTTTACCTGCACGGGACAAGGCACTTGTACCCACTGTGAAGAAAGTTCCAGCTCCTAATCCACCTCCCCTCGATGCATCCCAGTGGGAGGGTTGGGTGCCTCAGAGTCTGGCGAGTGAAGTCTGGGCTTTTCACTTGGCCTCTGCAGATGTGAGTAGAAGTAGAGTCATAGCTGCTCACAGAATGTGGCTGTTCTTTTACACAATGGTCAGTCAGGAAGAGCTTTAGGCACAGGCATAGGTGAGGCTTAAGAAAAAACACATTTTAGTGTATTTGTAGGTCCTGGAGACAAGAGGCATGGCATGCTACCCAGAGCCATGTGGGAAAGACACCAGAGTGGTCAAGAAGTGGAAGACAGGGATGAAAGGAAGCCATTAGGGCAGAGCATTCATTGAGGTTTCCATAGGCAAGGCAAAGCAGGGCACAGTAAATCATTTGCACAGGCTCATTTGAATAGTTTTACTGGGCTCTAAACCACAGGGGTGGTCCTTAGTTACCTGGGACCTGGGCATGGGATGATTACTGCAGAGTAACTGCCCTCTGGGTGTACTGGCCTCATAGAAGGGAGTGTGGTACCGGAGTGTTAAGTTTGCAGAGCAAAGGTATGCTCCTGGCTGAACCATTCCCTGTCTCTGAGAATTGGGAGGGGTGGTGCCTTCCAAGCCAGAACGGTTTTTAAAGGTGTGGTTAAAGGCTTTTAAAGATATCATAATATCTGGGGGAAAAAAACACTTTGAAGATACCACCATGTATTACAGCAGCCACTGATATTTTAATACTACTCTGTCCATAACTCTGTAATGTTTGTATTGTTCCTATGCTATTCTGTAAATGGATGTATGTTTATTATTATGTGTTTCCTACAACAACCATTGAGAACAGTCAATGATTATTCAATTGGTCACTCATGTATAGCTCTATTTTCTTTAGAAACCATTTTGAAGATACCAAAGTATAGTACAACAACCATTTATAATCTCCTACCACTTTTGTCTGTAACTCACTATCATTTGTCTATTTGTTTTCCTGAGAAACTATCTTGTAGATAACAATATGTAAAACAACAACCATTGATAATTTCCTACCACTTTGTCTGTAATTGGGTAAGCCCCCCTATTGCTATGTTATCCTTCTTTTACTCTTTAAAATAATAAAAAAAATATCTGGAGGGAAATGCATGCATACACACAGGAGATGATGTGGAACAATTTTTTTTAAAGTTGTCTGTCCCTTTAGACAAGGCTAGGCTGCCCCTTCCTCCTCCTCTGGTTGGGTGGAACAGGTAGGCTTTCTGTGGGGCTTTGCGTTTGTTGGTGATTCCAGGTTGGTGACTTCTTCCACTCCAAGTTTGGAATATTTGAGGTACAAAGCAAACTAAAGAAACCACCACCATGTCTTGTTGGGGTCCTGAGATTCTTAGTGTGTCTCTTTTTCTCTCTACCTTTCAGAGTCTTTTTGTTTGTTTAATATACAGTTTCAAGAATTTTTTTGGTATATGGCAGAAGGAAGAGGGAAAACTACTTTTGTTTCATCCTCCCAGATGTGGAAATCTCATCTTTGTGAAAGATGTTGACATCTTTTTTTTTTTTTTTTTAACACTTGGAAGATATTACTGCATGATGATCTGGTCTGCACTGGTTCTGACAAGAAGTCTGTTGCCTGTTTTTCTTTCTTTCTATATATGGAAATTTTTAAAAATTTCTAGCTGCATTTAAGATTTCATCACTTGTCTTGAGCAGTTCTACTTGGGATTTATTGAGGTTCTTAAATATGTACATGTACTATTCCCATGCAATTGGGACAACCTTTGGCCATTCAGAAAAAAAAGCATTTACTTCACAGAATAAAATTAACATTTTTGTGTATAAAGTTCTTTGAATTTAAACACATGTAGAGCATTCTTGTAAACTACCACCTCACCTCAGTCAGAATACAAAATCATTCCATCTCCTTAAAAATCTTCCTTGTGCTGTTCTTTTGTAGATAAGTATTGATGTATTTGTTCCATCCCTTTGCTTTTATTTTTGTGGCACCGGGAATCAAACTCACAACCTTGTGCTTTCCAGGCAGGCGCTGTGCCATTGAGCTATATCCCCGGCCTCATTATGTGAATTAATTTCTTTCTAGGTTTTTTTTTTTTTTTTTTGGTGGGTACTGGGAATTGAACTCAGGACTTTGCACTTGCCAGGCAGGCACTGTACCACTGAATATAACCCCAGCTCTCCCTTTATTTTCAGACTGCAATTAAATGCATATCATGGACAACTTGAAACTGTCCCACAGCTCGCTGATACACTTTCCCTTTGTTTTGTTATTTTAAGGTTTCTTTTTTTCTCTTGGTGTATTATTATGGCTATCTTCTATTCATAATGGATGTCTTCAAGTTCACTAGTGTTTTCTTCTATGGTGTCTAATTTGTTGTTAATCTCCAGTGTATTTTTCATCTCAGAGATTCTGCTTAAATATTTTTGAGCTTTATCATGGGATGTAGTGAACTAGAAATAGTTTGATCCCTTTAAGGATTTTAAAGCTTTATTAGGCAAGTCTGAACAGCTTTTGTCTAGGCAGAACCTATGGATTTTTGGGGCCAGGTAATTCTTTGCTATAAGGAGATATCTTGTTCTTTGTAGGGTATTTAGTAGTGTACCTGGCCTCTGACCACTAATTGCCAGTAATATCACTTAGCGGGAACTACAAATCATTTTTAAAATATTTTTAAAAGACTGAAAATGTAAATAGAGACCATAACATGTGGCCAGGAAAGCCAAAATATTTGTGTAGAAATCTCTAACTCCTGTTATGGCAGACATTCTTTCACCATTTGAAACTAATGGCAGCACAAGAAAAAAATTATTTTTTTCCCCCAGTATAGAGTCATGAAGACTACAGCTTTTGTTTTTGTTTTTGTTTTTCTCCCAGTACCGGGAATCAAACTCATGACCTTGCGCTTGCCAGGCAGGTGCTGACCAGAGCTTTTGAAACTAGGAAGAGTATGAGTCAGTCTGACTGTGTGACCTTGGGCAGAGTTTTAACTCTCTGAGCCTTTTTTCCTTTCATGAAATAGAGCCAATCTATACTTATCATTAGTGTTTTTGAGAGAATTAAATGAAAATAAAAGTAGATAGGTCAGTGCATACACCTAGCAGCTGCTACTTTTATTTCACTTCAGGAATGTGCTCTTTATTTATGGTTTACTGTCTAGTCATATTTTGCTAATATGAGGCATTGTCATGTATCTCTCAGGTCATGCAGGAGGATTTTGTGTGATGTGTATAATGCAGGCGCATATCACCCAGGCAATCAGTCATCCCGGGGATGTTCTTAATCCCATGTTTGTCATCAATGAAATACAGTGTGAGTATCAACCAGAGAAGTATTTTTTAGTAAGTTAGTCTTTTCCTGAGATAAGAGCTAATATTATTGCCCAAGTGATCCCCCTCCCTCAGCCTCCTGGGTAGCTGGGACTACAGGCATGCACTGTGTTATGTCTGGCTTTTAGCTAGTTAGTATTAGTGGTCTAGATTATTCTTAAAAAAGCCAAAAGTTTATTACAAAATAAACCACATGTGTTTTATTGTAGATGGGTATGTCTTTAATTAGCAACAGATGTTTAGTAAAAAATCTACTATATAAACTATTTAAAAAATTTTAATGAGATGACAATATAATGAAGACCGTAGTTTAATATAAGCAAAATTTAAATGATTTAAAACTCAGTTTGTTAATAAAATCATTTAAAAACAGAGGCCTTTTCTCAGTTGGATTTCTGATTTCTGTGCTGAGTAGTCTTTGATATTGTCCCACAGGTTTCTTTAAATGGTTTTTAATTAGTTTTAATTTGGTAAATTAAGCCTGTGTTACACATAGTGACAAAAATTATCAAAATAAAGGTAATTACACTCTTAAAAAATTTATACTCATAGCCTAACTAAATTTATGGACAAACTTCATTTTTTATATTTAATTTTAAAATTTTAAATATGTTGCATGAAATTTTTTTAAGTATTTCTATGTGCCCCCTACTCCCATACCCCCAGCTGAGGGTCTTACTGTGTAGCCCAGGCTGGCCTCAAACTCAAGGAGGCTGGCCTTGAGTAATTGGGGCCAGGTAATTCTTTGCTATAAGGAGATATCTTGTTCTTTGAAGAAGAAGGAGGCTGGCCTCCTTCTTCACCCTGGGATTACAGGCTTCTACCACCACACCAGGCTTTATGTGCTTTTTGTATTCACTTTTGTATTATTTTAATTAGCCACGTTGTAATAAAAATGCATACAAAGAAAAAACTTTTCACTCTTAAACTGGTATCTAGCTTGGTAATTATAGCGATGCCAAACTATACAATAATTAACTGTAATCCTTTTGCCTTAAAAGTTGCTACAGATTAAAGATTAAATTGGGCTTTGGCATTATTGGTGGACCAGAGCAGATAGTATAGAAATCTTTAAAACATATTGGGTTCTGGCAAAATTTTAACCAGGATAGATTTGCATTATTTTGATTATTTATACATTTATTTTTAGACACACATGTATGTAGCTGGTATGGGTAATTGATGAAGACCACTACAAAGCAGCCCTAAACAGGACTTAAATTAACTAACTGGCTTTCATGTTTACTTGTGAGTCTGTCCAAGGGTCCTTGTCTGGAGATGGGCAGTGGACTCATAGTAAGTGAACCTCTGCGAGTCACTAAAGCCCTACTAAGGCCTATAATGGTGGATGAAGCCAGAAAGCCTCAAAGGATAAGAGAAGATCACAGCCAAGGACACCTGGATCCAACCTCAACTAGATAAAGACTGTAGCCTCAGGCATCTTACTCTTGGGTGGATTAACTTAATAACTTACTTAGAGAAGTCCTTGAGTGGTTTTGCCCTTCTTGAGTACTCTCCTCCCTTCTTCTGATAACTAAATAAATATGGACCACCCAGAGGAAATCTTGGTTTTTAGTGTCAAGAGAATCTCAAATTCTGTGAGAGGGCTTTGGTCCTCCTAGAGCTCTGAAAATCATTCCATTTGCCTCGTTTTACTTAGCCTTTGCCATACATTTGTTCAGGAGATTGCAGACCTGATCAGCCCACAATAAGTAAGGGATATTATTAACCTGATAACTGGCTGAGTAATAACGTAGTCTTTAGGAAAGTGTCATTGTGTGCATATATATACAAATACAGTTGAATCATGGAATTGCTATTTTTATAGGTCAAATTGGTGGAATATTGGCAATTTTACATGATTTAAGCTAGAGTATATACATATGTGTGTGTATATATATATGTATTTATTCATACACATGTAAGACTAGTGTATAATAGGTTTTGTGCTATTCATACATTTGTGTTAGTATTTTCTTTATAATTTTAAAACATAATTTCTTCTTGCAACTGCTTAGTCATTTAGAAGGTTTGAAATATTACTCTGCAGCTGAGAATATAATTTGTTCTGTGGTCATTAGTATGGAATAGAATAGGTTGAATATTTGTGTTCTGCCTGGGGTCTCTTACAGATCCGAGTGTCATATTTAAAATGGGTGCACTAACCTAACATTTTGGATGAACTTGAGTCAATAGAATTGATGTGGACTTTATTTAAGTGGAATTGTATTAACTTGGTAAAGGCACAAGAGTCATTCTCTGGTGGCTCCTGGACTCTCAGGAATTGCAGCTGCTGTGGGCTCTTGGTGAAATTGTGTGGTGCTTGCGTTAGTGCTACTTTCTCATTAAGTGTAATTATTTGGGGGTTTCCTGAGTAACAGAAGATGTAAGTTTGCAGCCTAGGCATTTAATATGTAATGGTAAAGCCTTGTCTTTACTTAAAATTTGTAGGTATAGCTAGGCACTTCCGTTTTGGAAACCAAGAAGATGCCCATGAATTTCTTCAGTACACGGTTGGTGCTATGCAGGAAGCATGCTTGACTGGCAGCAGTGAGTGAGTACAAGTCATTTCTTCAGTTTGCACCGCTGGCTTACCACGCTTGTTTTGCCTTTTATGTTGAAAGCACACAGATCTGTTTGCTTTACCTTTTGGCCTTTGCATTGCCTCTTCCCCACCTGATTGGCATTATTTTAAAATGACTACAATTTAAAAAGTTGTGCTCACTATCCCAATTTGAATTTGTTCAATTACAGGTGTCAGGAAATGAATATTGGTTTTTCTATTATTTAATTCCTGAGTGCCAGCATGCCTTGGCAGGTCTAAAAGTACCTGCTTCTTTCTAATTGTGCCAGACATTTTCTCTGTTGACATCCATCCTTTTAAATGTTTCCTATCTCCTCTCTCTCTCTCTCTCTCTCTCTCTCTCTCTCTGTGTGTGTGTGTGTGTCAGTTACCAGTTCTCATCACTTCTTCCTGAAACCTAAATGCAGACTCAAGAGAAAGATTGGTGAGACAGTTATGTGACACTCCTAACCCACCCGCTACTGCCCACGTGCCTGATACCGACACCTCCCTTTCATTCAACTCTCTGTCCAGGCCTTCATGATCTGGATGATGATGGGCTGTGCCTTCCCTACCCTCCCCAAGTCCCGTACAGAGCCACAAGCCTGCTGATGGTGTCTTCTTTTTGCTTCTTTGCTTCTGAGCCAAATTCCTGCCTTGATTTCAAAGTCCCTTCCTAATTTAGCTCTTTCAAAGTCCCTTCCTAATTTAGCTCCTTCTGTCCTCCTCCCTGGACCCTCACTGTGTTCTACCAGGCAGGGCTGATCTCTGGGTACCATGCAGACTGATTTTTTTTTTTTTTTTTTTTTTTGTGGCTTTCTTTCTTTCTTTCTTTTTTTCTTTTTTTTTTTTTTTTTTTTTTTTTTTTTTGTGGCTCTCCTCTGTAATTCTTGTTCTTTTATAAATACACATGGCTTTAAAATCTAGTCATAGCATCTGTAATTTTGTAGAATTCTTATATCACTGTTTTGTCTTTTTCAGGTTAGATAGACACACCCAGGCCACCACACTCATTTGTCAGATATTTGGAGGATATCTAAGATCTAGAGGTAAGATTTTGTTCACAAGTAGATAAAGTGACACATGCATGTGGTATTAGAATGTAAATAGTAGAAATAAGGAGAAGTAGAGACTCCCTCCTCCTCCCCATAGGCAGCCCCTGTACCATTTTCCAATATGTCCTCCCAGTAGTTTCTTATTCATGAGCAAACTGAGAGCCAACTATAGGATATTTTGTATTTCCCCTCACATCAGTAGTAATATTTCTATTTGAGCACATATAGGTCTAACAGATTCTTTCATAGCTGCAGTAGTGTCCATTTCTTTTATTCTCCTTTTGATGGATACTTTCTATTCTGTTGTTACCACCAGCACCTTATTAAATAGCAGCCCTGTACTCATGCTTTTATGTCTGTCTTAGTTATTTTTTTTTCTCATTGCTGAGATAAAACACCTGATACCCAAAGTTAAAGGGGGAAAGATTTATTTAGCTCATAGTTTGTAGAAGTTTCAGTTCATAATCATCTGGTTCCAAAGCAGGAAGGTGTGGCATGGGGACAACAGTTTATGCTGGTGGAAGACACCAAAAGCAACAAGAGCAAAAAAGGGGTAGGGGAGCAAGCCTCTTTTTTTCTTCTGTTGTATGCAGGCTACCTGCCCTAGGGCGGGTGTGGCACTCACACCATCTCTGTACCCTCCTCTTGCACAGGCTGAGGATGTTAACAAAGTGAGGACCCTGGATCCCTGCTGAGTCACTTAGTTAAACTTCTAAACTTCTCAAATTGACACAATGAATCAACCATTACAACAACTTAGGGCATAAACAGCTGCCCTAAGGCACGTCCTCTACACCCTAGGATGCAGAACTGCTGAGTCACTTAGTTAAGCTTCTAAACTTCTCAAGTTGATACAATGCATCAACTATTACAATGTGTATGTAAAAATGTATATGATAAATTCTTAGTATTAGAATTTGAATTGTAAGATATAGTTTAAATTTTAATACATGCATATTGTCATTCTAAGAGGTCATACCAGTTTATATTCCATCAAGTAGTGTACAAGGGACCAAATTCATGAGACATTTACCTATACTGTGGATAAGATTAATTTTTCCCCACTCTAGTAGAAAAAAGTTATACTGTTTAATTTTTCTTTTTACTTTGAAATAGTGTTTATAGTCTTTACTTTCAATAGTTGAGATTGCCATACTGATTACACTTTGGTTATCTTTTGCATTTTATTTTTATTTCAGTCCAATGTTTAAATTGCAAGGGAGTTTCAGATACTTTTGATCCATACCTCGATGTTATATTGGAGATAAAGGTAAATTGCCTAAGTTTTGTGGTCAAGTTTTAAATCTTTATTACTTTTTGACTTTTCACTTAGTAAATCTTAATAAAACCAGGCTTTGATACTTACATCAGCAAACCTTAGATAGTTCTTTTCTTTAGAAATTGTTTTAGTGATGGTTTCTCGCCTCACTGTAATTCCTGCTGAGTCACTATGGAGTCCAGCCAATATGGCACTGGAGGTCATGTGGTATGGTGCTGAGCCAGTATGGCACCAAGCCAATATGGTGCTGGCCACTAGGGGTCATGTGCTAAGCCCCACCCCTCTTTCTCTGAGTCAGATTATGACTTCCTACTTCCCATTTTGTAATATCCTGTTTCCATTTCCCATGCTCCTGCCCAGCCCTAGTTTGCCATGTCAGGTGGTCCGCCTCCTAAACCCCACCCCCGGCCTAGGGCTATTTAACCTTGGACCTCATGACACGCCCTCAGAAGTTCTATGTCTCTCTCTCTTTCCTTGTGGTCTTCTCCGTGCCCACAGTAAAGGCATTTTATTCTGCTTTACTTCTCTCTGCACTGGAAAAACCTATCATATTTTCTTCTGAACTATATTTTTGTTATTCTTGAGCTTTCATTTTTCTGATTATAGATATAATACCTGCCTATGATGAAAAGGACAAATATTGGAGATACATGTAAAGTCTATCCTTCAGGACTAGTTTTTTTAGTCGCTTGATATACACTGCACCAGAATAGATTAGGTACTTTTTATAAAAATGAGATTATGAGTAGGGCATGGTGGTGCATGGCTATAATGCCAGAACTCTGGGAGGCTGAAGCAGGAGGATCAGAAGTTTGAACCCAAACTGGGCAACTTAGTGAGACTCTGTTTGAAGTAAAATAAGGAAAGGTCTGAGAATTTAGCTCATTGTGAAGGTCCTGGGTTCGATTCCCAGTATTTCAGAGAAGAAAAAAACAGGAATTTTTAAAAAGGTGATTATGCCTCAGTCTATTTGTTTACTTGCTGTTTTCATTTCCCTCTGCTTGGAGACTTTCCACATCAGTGTGTTTGGGCAGATTTTTTGTTGTTGTTGTCTTTTTTTGAGACAGGGTTTCGCTATGCAGTTCAGGCTGGCCTTGAACTCACTTTGTAGTCCAGGCTGGCCTTGAATTCTCAGTGATCCTCCTGCCTTAGCCTCCTGAGTGCTAGGATAACAGGCATGCGCCACCATGCCTGGCATGTGTTTGGGCAGTTGGTGGTGGTCCTGTAGGTGGATATAGCTCCTTGTTGCTTTCCACTTTATAGTATTCTAAGTAAAGCTGCAATGAGACACCTCCTTACATATATTGTCCACTTTAATCTGCTTTTGTTTTTAATTGGGGTGGGGTAATCATCCTAAAGGAAAAAGTTTTTTTTTCTGCATTGAGAACTGAACCCAGGGCCCTCTACCACTTAGCCACTTCCCCATCCTGCTTTAGCAATTATTTTGAGATTGAATCTAAGTTGCTCAGGCTGGATCCAAGCTCGCAACCCTCCTGCCTCAGTCTCCCAAGTAGCTGGGAACGCGGCCACACCATACCCATAAAAACATTCTTTTCATAAAAATTCTCATTTACTTTTCTGAGTCTTCTGCTTGCCTGCTTGCTCTCTCCGTCTCTCACAAACCATGACAGTGTGCGGTGATGTGGTGTTTGTGCTTCTTCCTCTCAGGGTACTCGGAGTGTTAAGGAGGCATTGGCACAGTTTGTGAAGCCGGAACAGCTGGATGGGGAAAACTCGTACACGTGCAGCAAGTATGATGGCGGGGGCAGTGAGTCACAGTCCCTGATTCGGCTGCTCCAGTTGGGGTGACAGGGAGCCTTGGTTGCAAAGAGCGTGGTGTGTTTGAATGGCCTGCTAGGTTGCCTTAGCTTTTGGTGCTGCCTGGGAGACCCTGGCTGTCCTCCAGAAGCTGGAACATGCAGGTCCGGTGTCTGCACTCTCTCAAGATGGGCAGCTCTGTACCCTTGGAGACCTAGTGCTGCCACCCTGATCGTGCAGTACTGTGACACTATCTGTTAAGCAGCGGGCACCTTCCTTGCCTTTCCTGACAGGGGAGACTGAGGGGTGGGGTGCGCGCCACTCTCTCCCCAAAAGAGTTGAGGATCTTTCTTCCAGTGGGTTCCGGTGGCGTGGGGTAGTGTCTGCTGGCAACCTCTAGTTTAGATTATTCAGCAATACATTTCCCCAGGCAGTCAAGGGAGTGTGTTTTAAGAATACTTGTTTCATATGTTTTAAGTAAATTTCCACTTTATAGTCAAGTGATATAGATATCTGTATTAAATAACCTTTCATTGTCCAATATTCAGTATTTGGGGGAAGGTGGTGCTTTTCCTCTCCAAGGGTAGGGATTTTTCCTGAGACTTTTTATCTTTTTTTTTGCCTTTTGTATCTGGTAGGACTTTGCTTTTACAGAATTATACCAGCATAAAAAACCAATTAGCTTCCAGTTTTTTTGAAGTGAATTAACCTACTATTTGTCTGCAGTGCTGGGTGTTCAGCTCAGGGCCTTATGGATGCTAGGCAAGCATTCTACCTCTGAGCTACACTCCCAACCCAAGTTAATCTGTTTTTGATGTCACTGGTGCCCTGTGCATCCTGATGTTTCAGCATTGTCTTTATCTTTCCCGTCATGCTACTAGGCAATTTCCCCCAGTTTTTTATTTTATTTTATTTTTTTGAGACAGGGTCTCTCTTTGCAGTTCAGGCTGGTCTTGAACTTACTATATAGTCCATGCTGGCCTAGAACTAACTCATGGCGATCCTCCTGCCTCAGCCTCCAGAGTGCTGGGATTATAGATGTGTGCCACCATGCCTGGCTACCTACAGTATTTTTAATTTAACCATTTCCACTGTTGGTTTGGAGAGGGGTGATGTTCCTCACCTATTATCCTTGTCTTAAAATCTTAAATTAGAGTGTTTCAGAGAAATAACAAGAGAAAGATTAAAACACCCCAAAATTCACACATTAATCTTCTTAATCTTTTGTTTCTGTTTACTTCAAGGTGCAAAAATATGGTTCCGGCTTCAAAGAGATTGACTATACATAGATCGTCTAATGTTCTTACACTTTCTCTGAAACGCTTTGCAAATTCTACCAGTAGAAAAATTGCTAAGGTATGTAGATAGTATCATTAATAACCTTTTATGAGGAGCCAAGATTTAAGTGCCAGCAGCTGTTACGGATTACAAATGACCTAACTGAACAGCTTTGTTGATTGACTTTCTGAGCTTTTCTTGCATTGGATAGCAGGAAAAAAAAGTCAAAGAATGAAGAGTTTGGTCTGTGTGCTTGTGAGTATATATGTTTTTACTGTACTCTTGAGGGCTGGCCTGTCTAGTGATAAAAGTGGAACTCTTATCTGTATTTCAGCTCATAGTTAATTCTTATCATGGTATCCATATATTAAAGGATACAGGGAGAACGTGTATAATTTGAAACCCAAAGAAGACTTCCTCACTAGATCTTGCCTCTCTTTCATGAAAGTTTATTTTCTTGTTTTCTGATTTTTCACTGTCACTGACTCTTTTCATATCCTTTCCCCTTACTGAAGGTTAAAAGTGGTCAAAAATTCAATAGCAAAGCTGAGCATGGTGTGCTTGGGAGGTTGAGGCAGGAAGGTCAGGAGTTTGGGCCCATGTTGAACTATACAGTGAGTTTAAAGCCAGCCTGGCCTACAGAGTGAAGTCCTATTTTAAGACACAAATAAAAAAATGCAGTGACATAGAAGAGAAATAACTAATAGATTCTTAAATTATTTGAAGTAGCCTGGCATGGTGGCACAGGCCAGAACTAGGGATACTGAGGCAAAAGAACTGCTACAAGTTCAAGGTCAGCCCAGGCTACACAGTGATTTCAAGGCCAGCCTGAACCACATAGTAAGACCCTGTCTCAGGGGCTGGGGATTTAGCTCAGCGGCAAAAGCGCCTGCCTGGCAAGCGCAAGGTTGTGAGTTCGCTTCCCGGTACCGGAGAAAAACCAAAAAAAAAAGACCCTGCCTCAAAAAATCTAATCAATTAATTAGTCAAAATAAAAATAATTGATGGTTAATGTCCAGAGTTGTCATTTTGTGGGTATCACCTATCATGGATTTGAAGAATTCACTTAATGTGGGTACTTATTTGTTTAAGTAAAATAAAGGCAGCGAGAATGCCTTAACTACCTGTCTTAGGTACTCTTCTCTTGTTGCTGAAACAAAATACCCAAAGCCCAAAATTAAGGAAAGAAAGGTCTATTCAGCTCACAGCTTGTGGAGGTTTCAGTCCGCACTTGGCTGGCTCCAAGGCAGAGTGGCATATGGCAGAGGGGAACTGTTCATGGCGGCAGAAGGCAGCAGAAGTGACAAGAGCAAAAGGGAGGAGGGCTGGCAAGCAGCCTCTTTCCCTCCCTGACATATGCAAACTATCCATCCCAGGGCGGATGTAGCACTCACACCCATGGATCCATCCTAAACTCCAAAAGCCCACCCCATGACTGCATGTGTCTTTGAGGGGACACTCAGACACAAACCATATCACTACCTTTAGATCAAGCGTCTTCCAGGTTAATCATATCCTTCGAAAAGTGATTAAAATGCATTAGGTTTCTGTTGGAACATCATTGTGCAGTGTTATGCGAGTCTCCTGGGACACCCTAAATACCTTGTACCCAAATATATGTGGCCTTCGGTGCCTTTAGAAATGACATTTTTTTTCCTCCTTTGTCCATTTCGGTTTAGGATGTGAAATACCCTGAGTATCTGGATATTCGGCCATACATGTCTCAACCAAATGGAGAACCCATAACTTATGTTCTGTATGCCGTGCTGGTCCACACCGGATCTAATTGCCGTGTGGGCCACTACTTCTGTTACATAAAAGTAAGCCTTGTGGGTTTTGCTAATTGCTTTTACATAGACTGTAAGATATCAAGCACTAGCATTCTTTGGGGGGAAAGGTGGGAGTTCCACAATTACAGTGTGAATGCTGCTTTTTCTTATTCTTTCTATTCTGTCCTTGTTCACCTGACAAACTCTAATCTTTCCCTCTTACCGGCTGTCTTTTGCAGGCTAGCAACGGCCTGTGGTATCAAATGAATGACTCCACCGTATCTCCTAGCGATATTAGATCGGTACTCAGCCAACAAGCCTATGTGCTCTTTTATATCAGGTATTGTGAAAACAAGTTACCACACTCTCTGTAATGTCATTTCTTTTCATCTCACCCACACTCAATGCAATTTTGAGTTAATTTTTAAAAACCAGAGGTCAAGGTTCACCCTGCCGCGAGCGTGGCGAGTCAGGAGGCCGCTTCTGAGTATGGATTACGAGCTTGCGTCAGCGTCCATCTCTTTGGTGCTCAGTGCTGACGAATGTGGAGGAAGGGAAAGGTGACAGCCGAGGGATGGTGGCTTAGGCTGCTGGCAGCAGATGGAGTGGACCTGGGGATATGGAGGCCCTGAGTGGAGGGATCGGGAAGGGCATTTGGAGCACCCTGCGTGGTCCCACCTAGCACCTCTGGAGTGCTGAGCACAGTGCTGGTGAGGCATCCTCCTGGGCTGGAACCAGCAGTTAGACTGATCCCACCGCAGCTATAAACTGACTAACAATTGCACTTTTTGAAAAAATTCTGAGGTGTACTCCACGGTGTTGCCTGCTCCTCTTTTTTTCCCCACCTGCTGGCAATAGAACCCAGAGCCTTGAGCAAGCCTGGCAAATGCTACCACCCCAGCCCCCAAGGTGTCCTTTTTAAATATGGTAGCCTAAGGTTAAGAATACCCTAAAGTGTTCAACAATGGAAGAATGATGTGTTGAAATTTTATGCAGTTATTAAGAGTGACTTTTTCTTTTCTTTCTTTTTTGAGACCGTGTCTTGCTATGTTGCCCATCACCTGCTGGAGTGATTTTTAGAAACCTTTTTTTTTTTTTTTTTTTTAATGTTTTGGGAAAGTGCTGAGTGTATGGAGTTTGAAATATTAAATACTGGTGTTGGGTGAAAGATGGGGGGATGAGCTATCTAATCAAAGGGGAATCATCTCTGAAGGGGACGACATGTTTTTTCCCATTTTTTTGGACACTGTAGGTTTTCTACAATGGTATATATTTTTAATTTAAAAATACAGACAGAAAAAGTAGCCTTCTGGTAGCAGCATCCTCAGCATACCATTTATTTTATTATTTTTTCCTTTTTTTTGAGACAGGGTCTCACTATGCAGTTCAGACTGGGCTTGAGCTCACTTTGTAGCCCAGGCTGGTCTGGAACTCAAAATGATCCTCCTGCCTCAGCCTCCTGAGTGCTGGGATTACAGGCATATGCCACCACTCCTGGCCGCATACAGTTTAAAATATGATTTCCTTTACCTATCTGCCCTGTGTCCTGGGCTGAGCACCCCAACACTGACCTATCCCCTAAAGGAGCTAATGCATCATATGGCTCTGTGCAGTGTGATTTAGAAGCAGTGTTTTTGCCATTGGTTTCTTTTGTTTTGTTTTTCTTCCGGTACCAGGAATCGAACTCACGACCTTGTGCTTGCCAGGCAGGCGGTGTGCAGCTGAGCTAAATCCCTAGCCCCACTGGTTTCTTTCAGAGGGTCTGAGTTTGTAAATCCATCTCCACTAAAATGCCCTTCATCATCCTAAACCCTCTCATTCTTTGTCCCCAGGTCCCATGATATGAAAAACCGAGGTGAACTTACTCATTCCACCCGTCACCACGGCCAGTCCTCTCCCCGCCCCGTCACCAGTCTGCGGGTTATCACCAACAAGCAGGCTGCACCTGGGCTTCCTGGACCACATCCTCCCTCTCACGCGAGGAAGGTAACCCTTCAGAGGTGGCGTCTGATTTTTATCTCATTGTGAGGTCTATCCTCAAATCCTCAGGTTAACACTGCAGTAGTTGTTATGTCCTGTCTATACCTGGATTTCTTATCAAACAAGTTTACGCGGGCCCTTTATTTCAAAATCTGACGTATACAGGAATCTCAGCGTGAACAGGGTGGTCGAGAGGGAGCATCTGGTGTGAGTATATCTGAAGGTTAGCACCCACTGTGGACTTGGACTCTACTCAGGGGTCAGACAGGTGAGTTTTCATCTCATATTAGGCCTCAGGAAAGTGATCCTGTTACAGGGACACTTTATATCCATGTAGCTGTCTTAGGAATGTGGTGTTTTCCCCTCTGCTGTCCCCGAGGGTGTGATCGAGGCCATGTGCCTGTGTGCCAAAGACACCTGATGCGGTCCGCAGGGTGGCGCCTGCCTTCCAGCCTCCCTGGGACCCCATGCCCAGGCCATCTGCAGCTTGAACTATACTAGGTCGTTGCTGCTGTCAGGTTTACAGCTTTCAGCTATCAGATTGGTTTGAGCTATCGGATTATCTGGTTGAGCGCTTTTTTGGTAGACATTGGGCTCTGTTTCACTTAAATGCCTTTGTGAGCTGAACTGAGAGCCAGCTTTTGAACTGGGCTCTGCTTCAGAGCATCAAACCAGGAAGTATGCGCCTAGGGAAAGGGGCAGCTGTAATTTTAAGAGGTTTTTTTTTTTTTTTTTTTTTTTTATACCATGACAAAATAGCAGCTAATTCAGATATTTAAGAAAACACCAGATAGGCCAACCACTATTTGCCAGTGAACCAGCTGTCACCTGTGTTGTCACAGGGATTCAGTGGTGGTAGTAGAACCCAGAGCAACAGAACTGCACGAGCAGAAGCCCGAGACATCCCCGGGTGGTGGCCGACAGGCTGGAACCTCACATGCGATGCCTGAAGCAGCCTTATCCGTCTGCCCATGTGGTTCCCCCCTTGCTTGGAGGCCGGTTACAATTCCTGCTTCTGGCACTTACTTCTCTCTGTAGAGTGGTGGCCTGGCCTCCCAGAAAGCCAGCCAAGGAGAACATACGTGAACCCATACCTAGAGGGACCCACAACGAATTTGGTCTAGGAATTGTGTTCTGACAGACATATTTGTCCTGTGTGTGGATTAGTTTTCAGAAAATTAGGGCCTGTGAAAGGTGCAGGGGGGTAGAGCAGATGAAAGCAAAGGGCGGTGTCTGTGATTTCGTGTAACCTGTCAGTCACAAGGCCAAAGTGGGAAGGAAGGCCGCTGGCCTCCTCGGGAGTGCTGACCCGGCCGTGGCTTTCTTCCTTGCAGAGTTCATCTCACTTGAACGGGACCGGGCCACTGAAAGACGCGCCAAGCAGTTCCACGTCGAGTCCTAATGGAAGTCCCAGCATCAGCAGGGCTAGTCCTGTTACGACTTCTACCTCTGTTCAAAACTGGTTAGTTAATGCCCCTGGTCTGTGACTGATTCCAGAGCACCCTGAGAGGGCCTCTCTAGAAATTAAATTCAGAGAGAAGATAGTTTGTCCCCATGTTCAATTTAAAATATCAATGTACTGACGGAGCTGTATGTAGCTCAGGAAAAAGAGGGAAGGAATTTGTTTTTTTTTTTTCTTGGTATCGCGAATAGAACTCAGAACCTTGTGCTTGCCAGGCAGGCGCTTCTGCCGCTGAGCTAAATCCCTGGCAAAAGAGGAAACGAATTTGAAGTGTGGCCGCCGTTGCCTCGGGTGGAAACTGCAGGTAAAACTACAGCCCGCCCGCCCGCAGGTTCACGGTGTGACCGTTCAGCATAAGCGCTGCTCCAGATTTGCCACCTGCCCTGCTGTGCTGCGGTGGGGAACAACTTTTGGTGACCTTCCAGCCACACCCCCAGTGTGACCATTTCTTAGTTTACACAGTTTGTTGGATTCCTGGAAGGTGTAGTGTCTGTGAAATCCGCGGCAATAGCATAACTGGGATTTTCGCCCCCGCGGATGTGAGGATGTGCCGCGGCAACCCCAGAGGGGGCCCCAGGGAAGCGAGCTAGGGGCGTGGAACTGTTAAGAAAAAGGGAGCAGCCGCGAACACGCATTCCCATTTTACCTTAAGCTAGAACAGCTGGGATGCGCGGTCATTTGCACAGTGACTTTCCCCTTGTTTCCTTCCTAATCCACCTTGGTCCTCAAATTTAACGTGCAAGAGAATTATTATACTATATTATAATTATATTATGTTTTGTAATATTTAATATATAATATTAAATATAATATAATATTAAATAATAGAATATATATTATATATTATACAGCAATAATAATTAAACATTATATTATATTTTATCATTATTATATAATATTATATATTTATTATATATTATATTTATTATTATATAATATTATATTATATTTTATCATTATTATATAATATTATACAATATTATAATTATTATATTATATTATATGTTGTAAATGAGGCCATGTATGTATGCATCCAAGTGCGCCTTCCTCCGTGTGTGGCCCGAAGGGTCCCCTTCTACACTCAGGGCAGCTGACTTCCCGTGGGGACTTGGTACAGGTCATCTCCTCACTGAGGAGTGGAGATCACAGGAGGTGTTGGATGGCTTCCTAACCTTGAGAGTGAGTCAGAGGCTTCCCAGCTGCCAAGGGCAGCCCGCATTTACCGCAGAGGGTTTTCCCAGAGCCCCAGTGAGTCCCTGTTTGCCACAATTCAAGGAGCTGTTGGATGTGTTGGGAAAGAGCTGCTCTGCTTCCGAGGCTCCAAGAGAAAGAAGGGGCCAGGAGAGGCAGCAGCCCATCGTCACTCGGCTCTTTGGTTCAGACTTAGTTCTTAAGAATAAGAAGTCCATCTGGAAACAGGAAAAGCCTGGAGCTGCACAATTATTGTTGCTGAAAAATAGGTAGGGTTGCTCTAACTTCTACTTTTATTTAGTAAAGAGAAAACTCGGTGTCCACAGATGATAGCCTGATAGTGGCTTATAGGCAGCTTCATTGAAAGTGATCAAATATGTAGTAAGTGTAAGCCATGACAAAACCTACAGAGCAGTCGTGCTAACTATTGGCTCGTCTCTTTCTGTTGGCGGGGATGCAGTCCACCTGGAACAGAGAGAAGTCCGTCAGGGGGTCTTGCTGCGGAGCTGGAGACCCGCAGTGCTGCCGCTGGTTCCCATGAGAAACTGGACCCAATCGCGAGTCTGTGCCTCAAGTTTAAGAAGGCTTTGCTGTCCCCCGACACCAGTTTCAAATCGACCGGAGAAGTCGTCTCAGAAAACAGTTCAGCCAAGCCTGATGAGTCGTTGTCCATCGTAAACAACCTTTGTAACATCAACAAGACAAGCGCGGGGGATGATCCACTTCCTCAACTCTGTGACGCTGGGAACTTGATGCCCAATGGCGGCGAAGCCCCCCACGGGGTCAAAGGGCTGTTAATTGAGAGCGTGCAGGATTCTGGTCCAGCAGAAGCAGCGGAGAAGCTGAACCCGGCTCCCTCCGCACATTCCGAAGGTGGATGTGGGCATGAGCTCTTAGTTTACCTCAGCAGAAATGAGTGTGGTGACGCAGAGGCCCCGTCCCAGAGCACAGGTGTATCTGCCCACATGCTGCCCTCTGCTCCGCCACACAGGACCACAGGCGCCCACCCTGAAGGGGACCCTGAGCACAGTCACGGGGAAAGGTGCCCTGAAGGTAAGGCCGGGCAGAAAGTTCTGGAGCACTTTCCAGTTAAAGAGAAAATGAGCAGCCTTAGAAAAGTTGACCATGGACATTACTGTGACCGATTCTGCAGTGAGGAACATGTGCAGAAAAGTAGGAGTCGGAGTCGGAGCAGGACTGGGGAACGCTGTCACAAAAAGCGGCACTCCCTCACTAGAAAGCACAGCAAGCAGGAGTGCCACGCCGTGGAGCAACACAAGGGAAGCCAGCACCCTCTGTGCTACGGTGAGAGAGTCAGCCCCGGTGAGCAACGCGGTCCAAGCAGGTACAGCTACCACCACTCACAAACCAGGAGCGGGGCTGACCAGGACGGGAGCCGATACCCCCACTTGGACAACGAGCGCGCCTGGCTCCCGAAGAAGCAGTACCTGGAGAAGATGCGATGGGACAGGTGCAGGTACTACCCTGACAGGTACGCCCCCTATGCAGTCGAGACCTGTATGAAGCAGTCACATGAGGACTTCTCCCAGGCCAGGAAGGGCTGGGAGCCTCCTGTCTGGGTGAGGGAGCGGACCCACTTCCACAGCTTGTGCCCAGGAGCCACAGCCCCCTTCCCTCTGCACCCCGAGAGCTACCTCCAGAAGGCTGCCTTCAGAGCTGAGGACAACGGCTGCGACTTCTTGGATTGGTTTCCTGAACACGAAAGCATGAAGTCATGCAAGCGCAGGTACGAGAGCGCAGAAAGTAAGGACAGTCATGTGGAGAAGAAAGCCCACAGGAGCCTGCCGGGAGACCTGGAGGGGCCTAAGGTGAAGAAGAAAAAGAAAGCTAAAGACAAACACAAAGAGCATGGCTACAGGTGAGGGTGGGCTCTGCCAGCAGGGTCTGAATTCCTCCTCTCCGTGGGTCCTGAGACTACACATTTCTAAAACGGCGCAGCTTTTAAGCTCTGTCTTACTTCATGTATCATGAAATGTCTCACTTCGTCTTTCTGGTTAATGCTTTGTGACTCTCCAGGAGTAAATGTGAGTTCTATAGAAGCAACTCGAGGATCTCTGACTTCAAGATTGGTTGTCAGATGTAGTCACATTTTTGTTTCTGTTATGTTGTTTTCAAATGGAGTGACTACATGGCCCATCGGCGGAAAATGGGAGGGCACAGTTCTGTTGATATTTGCCTCCCTGCCTAGAGTGGAGGTCTGAGGGCATCATTTATTTTCTTGGCCTTTCTCTCTAATTCTCAATAGGAAACCTAAATATCTTTGTATTTTTAAAATGAGAAATAGGTTGTTGGTTGTGTGTGTGTTATACTGGGGATGAAGCCCAGAGCCTTGTGCCCGGGAGGCAAGTGCTAGGCCAATGAGCCGTGCACCCAGCCCTGGCAGCTACCTTGAAACCGACCGGTTCATGACAAGATGAATGAGCATGCGTGCAGTCCCGGTGTATTTTAGTTGACTTCTTTTAAAATTAAAAATCCTAGCAAAAGATTGCCCAAAGCCATATGTAAATAGGCACTGGTTACTTTGGGGAAAAGGAGATCGAATCACAAATCTCTTCCTCCTCTGTGCCTGAGATACATGGCAGTGTTTTCTTTCTTTCTTTCTTTCTTTCTTTCTTTCTTTCTTTCTTTCTTTCTTTCTTTCTTTCTTTCTTTCCTTCTTTCTTTCTTTCTTTCCTTCTTTCTTTCTTTCTTTCCTTCTTTTCTTTCTGTCTTTCCTTCTTCCTTTCTTCTCCTTCCTTCCTTCATTTCTCTCTCTTTCTCTCTCTCTCTCTCTCTCTCCCTTCCTTATCCTTCCCTTCCCTTCCCTTTCCTTTCCTTCGGCCACTGACTTCAGGAGATGTCACCAAATTCCTCTTGGCCGTGTCTTGGCTGACAGCTCCTGAGCACAGAACCTATGGTTGGGGGGCCAGGGGTGGAGTTGAAGTTGGTAAATTTATGACCCTGGCTTTAAAAATTACTACAGCTGAAAGCAGAGAACGCATTTTTAACTAGATAAGCATTTACCTGTGGCTGTACATTGAGCAACCTCAGTAAGGGGTCACAACAGTGCAAGGTCCTATCTGAGGTGGTGCTGGTGTTTGGGTTGCTAATTTCTGGCTGCTTCTTTGGCAGGCATCAACTGGATATGGCTCTTCCCGTAGTGTACTCCGAAGCTGACCTCCACAGACACAAGAAGAAGAGACACTCAGGGAAATCAGAGAACTTTGGAGAAGAATCTGGGCTGCACTCACTGAAGGCTTCGAGCTATGAGACTGTCCACTGTTTCCAGAGACCCATGGGCAGCTTCCTGCTCGCCGATGGCCTGGCTGTGGAGGGCACTGGACCTTCCCGAAAGAAAACCAAGCATTCAAGGATGGAGAGCAGGACCGATGGGTGTCACCTGTTGGAGTATGGCCAGGGTAAGAGGTGATTTTTGAAATTAAGAAGAGGAAAACTCGATAAGTTTTTTTGGAAATGGCAATTAACATATGGAGATGGAACCTCCAGTGCCTTGAAAGGGTCCTGGACTGATACAGGGCTCCTGCCTCATCCGTCTTGACTCCTAAGCCCTGTGTGATTTGTTTTCCCCGTGTAGTTTGGATACGAAGGATGGCTACGTGGAATTGGGATTTGTGGCACTCTGGGTGTCTGAGTATTTGCTCGCAAGGGAGAACTTTTTTGTTTTTGAAGCATTTTTGGCAGCGGTGGTTTTGCATGATTTGTTTTACTCTCTTGATTCCTTAAAGCACCCAGAGTGTATCCTAACTCTTAATTTGATGACATGGGCCATTGGAAATGTTAGCTGCCACCTCTACCAGTGACTCCTTTGAGGCTCCTGGCATCAATGTCTCACTCCAGGCTGCCGAGCGTCTTGGATTCTTGTGTGCAGACGTGTCTTCTTGTCATTTAGTGGCTCTTTGTGCTCTGATTGCCCTTGGGTAGCCCCTCCCCCTTTCTTTTTTATTTTTTGATGAGAAATTCTTTTGTCATATTTAGAATCAAAATATCCCTTAAAATACTTACGTTTTACAGTAAAAAGGGTAGCACAACACAAGCTCGTGTACAACCTTAAGTATTCAAGTTCCTGAAAAGCCAAAAAATGAAAAGAAAAAAAATGGACTGCCACAAAGCTGCCCTGCGTGGTTATCAATTCCTTCAATGAGTGCAGATTAAAGTAACAAATGTACTCCTTGGGCTTCTGATTCTTGGTCAAAAACTATTCAACTGAATGATTAGTGTAACCTGTTATGAAGTTGCTTGGCTTTTTGTTGCTCCTTTATAGTTTCTTTAAAAACTGCAATTTTAAACTTACAGAGCACACATTACTCTCAAGTAGTCCTTATAGAAAGGACACAAAAGCTCAGGGCTCCACCCTTCCTACTGGCTCCCTGAGGAGGAGCCTGAGAAGGTCATTAAGAATGAAGGTGGTAGGAGTCAGGCCTGGGGCACAGCTTGGCAAGCTGCATCGGGAAGGCCAAAGCCTGTGAGTGAGGTGGCTTTTAAGAATGGCTGTTATGTTTTCAAAATTTCCAAAGGGGAGTAGTATTTTGTTTCACATGAAGAAAAATGTGTGAACTTCAAATGTCAGGGTCTGCAGACTTTGGCTGAGGCGCAGCCAGTGGTCTGCGTGCGGTTGGTGCTTTCGACAGAGGTGAGCGAGTAGTCACAGCTGACACCCCACAGCCTGCCACAGTCAAAGTGCTCATCACCTGGCCCTTCCCAGAAAAGAAAGCTCAGCTGAAATGTGCTGTCTTGGGAAGGCCCAGGCAGGGGCAGGCCGGTGACTCCAGTGGCCCCTGGTCTGTGTGCAGTTGTTGGAGGTGTGAAGAGAAGAACGCCTGAGGAAGGCTGAGGCTTCACAGGGGGTGCACGCAGACTCCCCACGGCTGCCAGGACGGGAGGGAAGCAATGTGGCATTTGCTGTTCATGTTAAAACATTGTGTACATTTTCAGAGCAGTTTCACATGAACATTTCAGCGATTTGCTGAAAGGGATTAATCTTTCCCACCTCCCTGTGCTACCTGAGGATCAGATATTGAGACGGATTTGGTCTGTGTGACGGGCAGGGTCCCGGCATCGTCAGAATCCCTGTCAAGCCCCAGAGACTACTGATCTGGGGACAGCGAGTTGCCCTGGTTGGTGCTGGCGTGGCATTCAGGGCTGAGTCCACTTGTCCACTGCAGGTGCCGAAGTCAGGTCACGTCTGAGTGGTGGCCGATTCTGTCCCCAGTCCAGGGGCACTGACGACTGGTTTGCAGCCAGCGCTGTGTGGGCTCCGGGCTCCTGAGAGGGGCCCTGGCTGAGGGCCGACCCTCTGCCATCTCCCGTGCGCTTGTGTTCCTGTGTCCTGCCCTTGGACCACTCACCTTTCTCTTGCAAACTCCTGACTTCTGGCTCCATTGAAATCCAGCTAATTTCTCTGGCCGTGGCCTGAGGTCTGTTCCATCCTCGAGTGAGAACCCAGCAGTGTGATGGGACAGGCGTGGCCTGTTCCCTAGGGCCAGCCTCTCCAGGCATCTTCCACGGGGACCAGAGGCCCTCTGCATCGTCACGGAAACTCGTTTCAGGAGGACACTTGCAGCAGTGGTTGTGTGCCAGCCTGTACTTGCTCAAGCTCTGAACTACAAGAAAACTAAGTCTAACTGTAACCACTTAATGCCTACTCAGAGCTCAGGCGCTACAAATTGTGCAAAGTCATTAAAATGTTTCCTAACCTTTGCCTTCCAGGTGATTGAAAACTTGGCCTCAAAACAAAAAATTCACAAGTTAAGGTAAGCGCTTTCCTGTCTGTCCATTGTAGAAGCACTGAGCGGGGACAGAGACAGCATTTCACTTCTGAGGAAAACCTAAGGCCCGGGGTGGAGCTGTGGAAACAGCAGCAGGGGCGGGGCGCTGAGCTCCAAGCCAGCACTGGAGAGTGCGGGCACCTCTTTCCCCATCAGCTTTCTAGGACCAGGGCAGGCTTGGCAAAGGGAGGACGGTGGCTGTTTCGTACCTGCTCCCTCACTGAAGAAGCCAGCAAGGCTCCCACTGTCAGAATCAGCAGTCGGATAAGCATCTGGGATGAGAGGCCCACGTCCCCAACCCAGACAGCAGAGCCCATCCCAAGAGCTGAGCGCCTAGGCCTAGAGGCTGGGTCACGCCCCTCACCTGACCCGGCCACTCTGTTGGGACGAGGTCCAGGTGACTTAGAGCAGAACCTTCACAGTGTCGGGGCTGTGTCTGAATCACTCATATTCTGTGGTCCTGGGAGGCGGGGGCTCCTGCTTCATGCTGCGCACTTGGGAGGTAAAGTGGGTGCTGAACCATTTAGCCCGTGAAAGGAAACTGTCCTTATGTGTCTCATAGCCAATCAGCAAGGCTGATTTTAAATGAACTTCAAGGTGAATTGTCTATAGAAGATCAGTGTGCAGTTAATTAACGTGCTTTATCTGTGTGTCCTCAAGGGAAGGCACTAAACTAAGGAACTAAACTCTTCCCCAGTAAAAGCAGGATCTAAGGATTGAGAAGGATTAGCCACAGCTGGGGTTCAGGCTGGGCTGGTGCAGCGGGGCCCAATGGATGGCGCCTCCCTGGCAGGGCTGCCAATGGTTCCTCTGCAGCTGCCTGGCCTCACTGGGCTCCTCCACTGCCATTCAGGAAGGCAGAGATGGTTTCAAGGGAAAGGAGCTTCCCAAAGACCCAGGGGACCTACAGACAGGGTGGTACAGAAAGGGGGGCCTGGCTTCCTGGGACTCTGCCTTCATCTAATGCGTGCGCCTCTTGTCTTTCAGATTCGACCTGTTCCAGAGAAGCCACCCCAACTGAGTTTAAATGATAAACATAACTTGGTTCAAATCTGTGTGGTGCTTCTTAATAAATACTGTACACATTTTGCCATGAATTTTTAAATTCTTACCTTTTCTTAATTGCCCTTATTCCCAAAGGATGAAAATTTTTTATAACTGCCCACCACTGTAAAATGCAGTGTATATCCATCACATTGACAATAATACCCTGGAGCAGAACATCTCAAATGCTGCTTAATTAAGACTCAGGTTGATTACTTGTATTTCACGTAATGTTCCTCCAAGTTAGACATCTGCCACAAGACCAACCAGGAAACCATGGAATCATTAAAAGTAAAAACTAACAGTGCATGTGTTTAAAGACTTATTTAAAAATTTACAAGCTCTCAACTAGACTTTTGAGGGCAGTCTGTTTTCAGTGATGTCTGATACTAGAAACTAATTTGCTTCATATTTTAGTTGTATTCAAGATTTGAAAATGTGTCTTACAGACAAGTTCTATGTTTGAACTTTGTGGAATTATTCCAATCAACTTACCAGTTAGGAGTATTCACATTATGAATGTATAATCCAAACATTATTTGTAAGGCTTACAGTATGTTTTATTACATAACACTTTTTTATATTGTGCCTCATCTACTATATAATTTTGGAGTCTGAGTTGTCAGCTTGGTCACTTAAAGTTTCTAGTTACAGACAAAAATCATACTGTGGGTTTATTTTTAATATGGACATGCTGTCAAACTGTGACGCACTTATAATTTATGCTCCTGCATCAGGAGATGGAAAACTGGGCCCCTCTCTCTGCCAGCACCTGCTCCAAACCTTCACATTGCGACATCCCCAGGTCTCAGGCCAGCCACCTTGGGCTAGGTCAGGCCACCGCCAGTGGTCTCCCCTCTGCCACACATTGGCCAGCAAAGCATCGCTGTGTGCTGCCCTGCTGACCACCGGTCTCTCTCAGACAGCTTCCAAGACCACAGGACCCCAGCACTGCCACAAACCAGCAGGCCCTCTGCTGCCCTGCACTTCCGCCAGGGACTCCCCTCAGCCATGACTAACCCTAACCCTTCAGGCAGCATGAGAACCCTTACCGTACAGCCTCACTTCTGTTTTTGTCTCCATAGCAAGCAGCTCCTCCTGACAACTCATACACTTGGGTTTTAGAAGTGTCCATCATCCCCTCTCTCTGCCCAGTGAGGCCTGTGGGGCCATCCAGGTACCAGCACTGCCACTTGAGCTCCTTGCGAGTGTGCCTCAGGACAGGCCAAGGGCAGAGTGACGAGAGCCCCACAGGCCCAAAAGAGCCAAGGACCCAGTGGAGCAAAGCCAAAGTGACAACTCTCTGTCCTCCATCTGCCCCTGCTCTAGGTGGGGCCTGGGAAACTTTTGACCCCTGTGGGGTTTATCCAGAACTCCTCTGGCTCTAGGCCAGAGATCAGCTGCCCACACACATGGAACCACAGTGGCAATGGCCGTGCTGTGGACACACTTGCCACACACCAGGCCTGCGCCTTTCTCTGGATACACAGCTTTCAAGCACTGAATCTGAAGATGGAAATCAGGGCTCCAGGACGCCCACACGTGACCCACGAACCGTTCAGCCCCACGCTGTGCTGCTGAGGTTGTCAAGAGGGTCACACCAAGTGCCAATCCTTCACTGTACACCTGGAATAAGTACGGCCACAAGGAAAAGGGCCATGTACGCGAAACCAGTGTCCGGTGGAAAAGTTCTGAGAACATGAACCAGACAAGACAGGGCCACAGCATTCTCAGCCCTGGAACAGGCTGAGTGTTTCCATCAGAGACTCGTCCCTCTGACAGGCAGTGGCTCAGCGTCAGAGCACAAAGCACAGTGCGGCCCAGCCAGGACACCACAGAGGACAAGATGGTATCCTCCAAGGAGCGCATGGTGGACCCTGAGACAGGCTGCGTGGGGGCGTGTGAAGGCCGTCTCCTCCTGCCCGTGCTATGTGACGCGCAGTGACACCCAGCTTTCTGCAGCCAAGACTGGGGCAGCCACACCGAGCAGGATGTACAGTAGACGTGGGAAGAAAGCACCACACAACCCCCGGATGTCCCCCAAAATGAAGGACGGCAAAGAAGCCACGAGCAGGATGAGGAACTGGGGGTCACAACAAGGAAAACATGACTCCGTCCCTCCATGCAGGTTCCATCTCTGTCCAGGCTGCTGCCTGTCAGGCGGCGGTCACACAGCAGGAGAAGGAGCACTGGAATGCAGTCAGTGTCTGCAGGACCTGCAGGTCCCTGAGTTACTCCGAGTGCTGATGACCACTGCTCCACTCCTGCCCGGGCCTCCCAACGTGGTCTACTCCAAACACTCACCTTAAGACTTATATGAGGTTGAGATCAGCAAACTCCTGGAGTTCAACAAAAGCCCGAAGACCTTTGATATTAAATTCGTCCCAAGGAGAGAGTGGAACGAATGCATAGAATCTCATCACTTTAAAAGAAAGACGTATCCTAGCCTGGCATAGTAGCACATGCCTATAATCCCAGCATTCTGGGCCACTGAGGGAGGAGGATCACAAGTTTGAGCCCAGCCTGGGCACCTTAATGACTTAGAGAGAAACTGTCTCAAGATAAACACTTGAAAAGAAAAGAAAAGAAAGAAAAAAGGTCCATTGCAAAGTCCTTGCGTTGGATCCCCACTGTGTGTGTGTGTGTGTGTGTGTGTGTGTGTGACACCAGATCCTCTAGCATGTTTTTGCAGTTTAATTTTGTGTGATTACAAATGAAGATTTTCTTCACTGTAAGTTTGTTTTCAGGCTTAAAGCAAAGGAGAATAAATAAGAGATTAGGGATATAACACAAATGAATATATATATATATATATATATATATTCAGTTATATATTTCTTCGTTATGTCAGGAAGGAGACCGTTATAAAGTCCCAAATGACAGCAGCCACTGCCAACTCTGAGTGCCAGGGCATCAAGCTGGGAGGCCGCCCGATGCCCAGAGTGCCCTTTGGGCTTCCCAGTGACCCCAAGTCTGTTTCAAGGCCACAAACTATAAGGTTTATGCTGGCTCAGAAAATATGGAAAAGAGCCTACGGCCATACCATGCTGAACGCACCTGATCTCGTCTGATCTCGGAAGCTAAGCAGGGTCGGGCCTGCTTAGTACTTGGAAGGGAGAAAATGTGGAAAAGAAACACCTTATATTAGTTTTTAAGAAATAAACATGAGAGTACAGTAAAAGGTGTACAGTTTATTTAAATACAACAAAGACCAAAATGATGTAGCAACGTGCTTCACTACATTTTAACTTGGAGACGCTGCTGTGGGTCCTGGTCATGAGGGCCACTGAGGAGCCCCAGCAGCAGAACGCTGGGGTCCACCTACCCCACCTCGCGGCTGGCAGCGACACGGGCTACTTGGAATTCACGCAGCCCAGCACTCTACCTGTCTCTGGCCAAGCACGGAAGACACCTGTAACCAGCCCTCCTTGGGTGGGCACACAAGACCTGAGCTGAGAACCACAGCATTCACTCCCGGCTTAAGCTCACAGCCCGTCTGCTGGGAGATCAGTAAAGGGCTCGGCTAGGCACACTGCCCCTGGGGTAGGCTGGTCCCTCCTGGCTCACATGTTGTCTGGGTGGAGCCAGTGGGGAGCCCCCCACGCAGGCGGAGGGAACAAAGGGCCAGTCCCGCCACACCTTCCCACCCCCCTTTCATGGGTCCTGGCTACCACTCTGGGCTGGAGTCTTCCGGGCTCAGCCTTCGCCTTGTCCTCTTCTCTATCCACACTTATTCCCTGGGGATTGCCGTACAGGCTGTGCACCCCTGATCTGAAGACCTGAAGGGCTCCGAAATCTAAAAATTGAGTTATCGTGTCGGTGTTCGGAAAATTTCATATTTCACAGTGTTTAGAGTTTTGGATGATCAAACGGTAGGCTTCTTTATATATCCTAACTATGTCCTTGTCAGATTTACATATGATTTGCAAATGTTTTCTGCTGTTTAGGGGGTTGTCATTTCACTTTCTTGCTGATGTCATCCGAAGCACAAAATGTTTACCTTGGCTGATGCCTCATCTATTTTTTGTTATGCTTTTGGTGTTGGATCTAAGAAACTGGCATAAATCAAGATCACAAAGATTTATCCCTGCTTCTTTCTAAGTATTTTATATTTTTACTTCTTATATTTAGGTCCTTGCTCCCTTTCAATTTTTGTATATGTCTGAGTACCATTTGTGAAAAGGCTATTCTTTCCCCACTGAACTGTCATCAAACATTTGTTAAAAAAAATCATTTGACATTAAATATGAGAGCTTATTTTGGGATTTTCAATTCTACTCTGTGACTTTCCATATGTTTATCCTGTATCACTACCATATTGTCTTGATTAGTGGAGCTATAGTTTATTTTGTAAACAGGAAGTGTGAGCTCTTCAACTTGGATCTCTTTCAAGACTGCGGCTATTCTGGGTTTCTTAAAGTACCGTGTGAATTTTAGGATGTGCCTGCAAAGTTCTGCAAAAAAGTCAGTCAGCTGAGATTTTGATACGGATTGCATTAAATATGTAGCTCAGGTGGGCATGGTGGGGCACACCTGTAATTAGGAGGCTGAGGCAGGATCGTTGCTAGTTTGAGACCAACCTGGGCTACCTAGTGAGTTCAAGGCCAACATAGTGAGATTCTGTCTTTTAAAAAAAAATGTAGAAGGGTACTCTCATCTCAGCAAAATTAAGTTTTCTGAGCAATGAACAGGTCTATTTGTCTGGATCTTTCAACTTTTTCATATTACAGTTTTTGGCTTAAAAATTTTGCATTTCTTTTGATAAACTGGTCCTTATTTTATCCTTTTTAATGCTATTGAAACAGAGTGTTTAATATCCTTTCAGTTTGTTCAGCAATACTGTATAAAAATACAAATGAGTTCTGGGATCTTGTAGCCTACAATTTTACCAGACTTGCTTATTCTAATACTCTTTTCCTCAGGATTTTATATATTTATGTATATAAAAATATATATTTTATATCAATATATTGATATTGATATATATCAATTGATATTGATCTATAGCTATATGTACCTATCTATCTATTTGGATCATGTCATCTGCCAATTA